GGGGGGGGGGGAAGGGGATGGTGGGATATGGGGAGATTGCAGGGGAAGTTAATGAATCCATGGGGAGGTTCTCCATCAGAATGGGGAGGGTAAGGTGGCTAAAAACAGCCCCCCCTACAGTTGTGGGGAACATTGGAAAAGCACAGCCCTAGGGCTGTGGTGAGTGGTTGGTTTGTCTCAGCCCTGGGACTACACTCTGAACATATACAGCCATTCATTAAATCAGACTAACCCATTTCCAACCAAACTTTAGTTCATCTTCTTAGGTGAACTAAAGTGAGATTGGGTCAGCCATTTTTGCCCAAGCTAACCTCCCCAAACTTATATGTATAGATCAGCATTTAGACTGATGTTACCCTACCTTGGTCAGTCTAAGTGGAACATCTGCATATAACTAGAAACTCACAAGAAGACAACTAAGGGTTCTAATTTAAACAACACTACCCTCATGATCTGTGAATACTGAATAGAGCAGCTGTTAACAGTCTATTTTTTCTGCCTTGAATGAAAGAGAAACTGATAACTCAGAATCATTCACTGTAAAATTAAAAGCTACACTATCTCAAGCAATACTTTCAAGTCAGTTCGATCTACATATAGACATTAACTAAAACCTTTACTCTATCAGTAATATTAGTGATTCAAAGTGGAAGTTGTATTATGCTGTGTCAAGTATAAAAGTGATTTGTAAAAGTATGCTTGCAGTAAGAATGTAGGTTCCTTTTATATCTAAAGAAAAATGAACTTTCCTGCCAATATTTGCATCAGATTAAGAGAAATCATCTTGGGAGCTCATTTTCATAAGGTGAAATAGGTGAGCTTCTTATCTCTAAGTGGCTTAAAATATCCCCTGTGGTTAAGCTGGAATCTTTTTATTGGTGATGATTAGGCTAAATAAGAGGCTTCCTTTCATCTCTGAAAGAACCATATTTCTCTATAAAACTAATACTTGAAAGAGGCAGCAATGTGAATTAGTTTTATGGTAAATCTGAAAAGTTACTGAATACTGATATAGAGTAGCATATATCATATGATAAACCTTTACAATTTCATATTGAACTGTAAAGCATTTTGGCCTTTTAATAAATTACTTAGCATTTAATAACAAGTAAACAAGGCTGTTTCTCAAAATCTGATCTGTAAACCCAGATGCATGGGACACATTTAAGAAAATATTGTTCCTTCCAACAGAGAAAATATATGGTGAACTTTATTTATGATTTTTAATAAATAGAGTCAATTGAAAGCTTGAGAAATTATTTTTGAGTATGCTATAAATTGTACGGTTTGCAAAACAGTGCACATGAAATTCAATTATAACTATAGTGCAGATCATAAAAATATAACACTACCATTCTTATATACTTGCTGTAATTGTATTGTCTTGCCAAGCTTGGGATACTGGATGCCACAGTACTGAGATCACTCTGGAGTGTCAAATGTTGAGTTTATTTTTAATCACTACTGTTCTATACTGTAATGCAATTATGTTCCTCTGTACTTACAGAACATCAGTGTCCTAGTAATTAGGGATTAAATGTTCGTTAACTATCTTCAGTAGAGTCTACATAGGAAGCACCTGCAAAGATCCAGTTAGATCTATTATAAAACAAGTGTCATGTACAGGGAAATGAGGCATTCCTTGAAATTGTTTAAGCGTGGCTTGTGGAACCTCAAATTTATTTTGCGTTAGATAACAGAGCCATATCCTGAGAAGTTTTGAGCTACTGCTGTTACCATTAACTTGGTTTATAATCATTTGCTATTCCTTCTGTATCTCTTATAGTGTAGCATTTGACTGATCCCTAAATAAATTTACCTTTATTTATAAAATGTAACTTTAGGCAGATATAACTACTCTACTATAGCTGTCTAAGTTAAACTCTATGGTAAACTACAGTTACATAATATCTGTTGCTCTTTTCTGAAACTCTAATTTGAAAAATGTTCACAGCATGCTCAATTTCATGCAGATAGGCTTCTGTCAATAAGACCATGATTCATTTTCTGTGAAGAAATGTGGCGAGGAACCTAGCGCTATTCAAGTGTCTTTTCTTCACAGCTGTAACTTGCCTCAGCATTGAGACTGTGCTCTCAGAACATCTCGTCTGGCGATTGATTTCTGGGTCATTGAATGAGTATGGAGCTCAAGTCATGCTAAGCTGCAGTCCCGGCTATTATTTAGCAGGACAAAGACTTATACAGTGCAGAACTAATGGAACATGGAGTATAGGTGATGAAAGACCAACCTGTAAGGGTAAGAAAAATGCTTGCTCATCAAATGTACCATGCGATTCCATATTTGAGTATCACTTCTAATATTTAAATATTTTTTTATAAATATTGTATTTAATTAGATAAATAGAAAACTGTAATTCCTAAGGGAATATTTATTTCTGTTGAAAGTAATTCAATGTGACATTTTCATTATATATCATTGGTTGAAATTGCTGGGTGCAAGCTGACAGCTTCTGTAAAAGTATATTTACATTATATACAATGCTGGGTAACTTATCTTCATAACAACACTTTGTTATACACTTTGCTTCTCAGCCCTTTGGCTAAGATCATATGTTGATATTCTTATTTACATAACTTTAACTTTATTAGTGAATGTTAAAAAGGGTAGTTGCAGAGTTGAAGTGGTAGGAAGAAATACAAATATCCTGATAAGGGTGGCTACATAGTACATGGTGAGTGGGTGGGTGGGGGTCAGGGGAGGAAGATGCATCTAAGTTACATAGTAAGAATTGGATGGTTTGGGTTGGGGGGCAGGGAAGTTAAAGTCAGGATGCTTACAGAGAAGAGAGAATACAAAGTATCCTACCCAAGGAAGCCACATTGTTACAGAGTGGTGGGTTTTAAGGGACACACAGTTACATGTAACAACAGGTAGGGTACAATTGCTGGTGTAATGATTTTACATATGGCCACACAGACTCAGAAAATCAGTTTCTTCGCTGGTGTTTAAGCTTTGCTGTTTGTGTGAGAGAGAGGTGTCAGGGATCTGATTACAACTCCCAGCTCTGTGAATTATTTTGATTTTGATTATGGACTATCTAATATTTCAAGCAGCCTAAAGGTGACAAGGCAGCCAAGAATTAAAAGAATTGAACCCTCCTACAATACAATAACCCCTACCCCACTCCTTTCCTCAGTATGTTCCCCAATGTGTTGGAGTGAGAAAGAGGTTAGTTAGCACATCTGAGCTATCTTTTTCAACCACACAATAGTGGAGACTTTTATATCAGGGGTAATTCTTGGCTGGCCACTTTAACTGTGAATCAGGCCCCTTGTCAATACCTGACAGCATAAATGTTTGTAGTTATAATCAAGAAACTGGCTAACTGAAGGGTCTACATAGGGCAGAAATTAAAATTCTTTAATGCTGCATTGAATTCTGTAGTCCATATCTAGACCAAAGACTCTTTCAAACTAAGTTTGGTGCTTCATTCTGGGGAATGAATAGGGCTGGCCCACAGTGTTTTGGGGCCCTCTGTAAGATATAGTTTTGGCCCCCCTTGAAGTGAAGAAATCAGTGGCAGTGGCAGGGGAGGAGGGTGGGCAGCAGCCAAAGAAGCCAGTGGTGGTGGCAGTGGCGGGGAAGGGGAGTGGCTAGCAGCCAGATGTGAAGCCGGTGGCAGCATTGATGCCAGGGCTGGGGGTGGTGAGCAGCTGGACATGAAGCCGGAGGTGGTGATGGAGTGTTCATAGCTGCAGGGGGCCCCTTGGCTGTAGGGTCCCCTGCAGCCACAGGATTTGCAGGATAGGGCAGGCTAGCCCTGGGAATGAAAGCAATAAGGCAAAAATGTTTTTATGAGAATGGGTAACCTGAAACCCACACACAAGCTGGCTAAAATAGGAAACTCTATGGAATCCTCTAGCTCTAAAATACTCAGACAGTCTGAATCTATTATATGGTGCTTTTCATTGGAATTTCTCAAGAAAAACATAAACAGATCCAGCCTGCTTTGCAACACCTGCTAGGGTCAACAGACATGTCTGTTGACCCTAGCACCCCTGAGATCAGCTGTGCACCTCTGAGATCAGCTGTGTACCTCCTGGAAGTGTCAGCCACGAAACTGGCTGACTGGGTGTTCAGCTGCTGGGAACCCCCCCCCCCACACACACACACACACCCCCAGTTGGTGCCCAGCTGCTGGGGGACCCCCTCCATCAGCGATCTCCAGACTCGGGAGGTGCCAGGTGCCAATGGCAATTTGCATACTATAATGAAAGATATGAATAGTCTACACTAGTTTGATGTTAACTGATAACTCTAAGAAAACAATATCAAATAGTCATCTGCTGTATCATTGCTAGAGAATTTGACTACAAAAAAATAAAGGACACTTTGTTTGGTGTTATTCTTGTTTATTATTTATTTCCCAATGAGACATATGAATCTTATCACTCCTTAAAAAAGAGTTACCTGTGACTTTTCCAAGATTCTGAAGAAATCAGATAATTTGTTACAATATGAAATATATATTTTCCCTTAATTTTTGTATAAAGTGTCTTTGAAAATATGTGGATGCCTTTGAGCATCAGAGAAAACAGATGGTATAAAAATTGTCTTGAATATAGGAAAATATCAACTGGCATCTGCAGTAGTTAAGCAAAAATATGTACAAGGCTATGGGCTTAAGAAGAAGTGAAATGATACAGTGAAATGATAATTCTACACCATAACTAAATTCTTACTATTGAATATTATAATGTTAAACCTAACTGATGGGGTCACATTCATGAATTTTTCTAGAATGAGGTAAAAGCATATGAATGTTATAAAATATAATACAAATATAAAGAAAACCTATTGGAAAATATTACTGTAGTTCTGCACTGTAAACGATAATACTGTAGTTATGGTATCAACCTACTGGCCAAGGAACACTGCTAATTCAACAGATGTGCATAAATAGTGGACCATAGATAGGAATGTTGGAAAACTGTCACACATTATGGCTTTTTTCCTTTTCCTTTTTCTTTTCTTTTTTTTTTTTAAATAAACCCTGCTACATCATGCTAGAGGAAGTAATGAATTCAAATCATAATCCAAGGCAAAAGTCCTATACTCCCCCAAAAGCTTTAGGCCATTCTCATTATAGGAATCATATGCAAGTAGGTCTGGAAGGGACCTCAGAAATTCTGCTCACTAAATGATACCAGCCAAGTATTTGTCTGTCCTGCTTTTAATTAGTAAGGCTGAGGATTTCACAACCTCTCTGGGTAGCTTGTTCCAATACTTCCATTCTCACCCTCAGAGTGAGGAAGTTCTTCCTAATCTCTAATCAAAATGTTCTTTGCTGCTATTTAAGACCATTTTCCTTGGCCTATCTGCTGCTGCCACAGAGAATAGTCTAGCACTATACTATTTATAACCACCCATCATGTATTTGAAAACTGTTATCAAATTCCCCCTCAGCCTTTCCTTCTCCAAACAAGGTGTTTCATCCTTTCCTCATAAAGCATGTTTCTGTTTCCCAGATGTCTAATTATTTTTTATGTTTTCCACTGGACTCTTTCTAATTTGTCTCTGCTTTCTTGAATGTGGTGTTCCAGAATGGGACATAATACTCAAGATGAGACCAGTGCTGAACAAAGTAGAAGAATCACCTCTTTTGATTTGCAAGTGACATTCCCAATGATACAGCCAAATATGCCATCAGCCCTTAAAAAGAAACAAACAAATAATAAAATGCTTGGCTGATATTCAGCTTATGGATATTCAGCTTAGGGACTCAACTGCAACTCTTAGGTCCTTTTCTGCTCTACTGCAGGCTAGATAGTTATTTCCCAGTCTTTATTTCTGTATGCAGTTATCTCATCCCAAGTGCAGGACTTCACACTTTTCCCTGTTGAATTTCATTAAATTGATTTTTGGTCATTTTTCCCATTTAATTAAGGTCATTCTGAATCTTAGCCCTATCCCCCAATGTCTGCAACTCCACCCAACTTGGTGTCATTTGCTACTGCAAATGAAGAGTATAGAGAGATCTTGCCAATGTAATTAGACCTGCTTATATCCCCTCTAGCTTATGGTTCAGCCAAATGGTTAAATGGTATCTACCAAGTTCAGGGAATTTTGTTATTCTTAGGCTCCAGAAGAAGCAGGAACTTTTTCCCCATTCCCAAAGTGAAAGTATATAGCAAAGAAAGTGCCTGTAGAAGGTAGATCTCCACTGAATAAGAAAACAAATAAGAAAATTATATTACTAATAAGAAAATAATTATTTACTTATAATGTTATTTTTAAATGGCAGTGCAGTGTGGTTTTGTTTGTTTGTAAAATGAAGTTAATGAATATGATAGAAAAATAATATAGTTCTTTCGTAACTGCTAGGAAATAATAAGGGGAATATTGATATTCTTTTTGCAGTTGTGGAGAATAAGATTTAGATTTCATCCATTGAAATTATACCAGTTTTATTCTCTGTGGGTCTATGAAAGCCTTGCTACCTTCTTTAATATGAAGTTAATTTTGCTATTATATAACAACTAGTTATTCTGGAATCCATTATCCAGCTTCTGAAAGTTTGTTGAAAAGACCAGTGCTTCACTAACTACCACAGTGGTAGCAACTCTATTTAACTAATTAGAGGTAAAAAGAGAAATGGAGATGCAAGTGTTATATTTAACCATGAGCTAAAAAGTAATAGATACATAATCCTAATGGACTTGTTTATAGACTAATGACTAAAGGTTTATTGGGGGTTCGGAAGGTTTCTTTTACGAGATGAATATATTATCTCATCCTCTGATGGGAAAACTGAGTTTCAGTGAAAGATTTAATGATAGTAAAGTTCAGCCATTACAATGGATGTTGTAGCATTTCCATATGGTATATAATATAAAGATCTAGAGATTTGTTAAAGAATATTTTGAGAATACTTTGTTTGTCACTCACATAATGAAACAAGAATATATAAATAAAAATCGTAGCTGTGCAAACATATATTTAAAACACTGTGGGAGATATTTAAATGATAATGAAAAGTAACTCAAGTAACTCAAATATTGTATATGAAGAGCCAAAACCATAATGCTTTTGTGACCATTATAAGTCAGGTTAGCACTTGGGAACATTTATATAGAGATTTTACCCTCACTTTTGTTTACAGATATGAAAAAATAGTGTCCATGACAACTCATGAGATCCAACACATTTTAGTCAGTTGAAAAAAGATGGAGGTATTTTCACATATATAATATAGTGCATAATTCATGGCATAATACCTTGTTTGACCTATTAGGAAATTTATTTTATTTTACTTCGCTATAAATATCTTGTATTCTACATATTTATAATTAAATATATTAAAACAGTGGGTAGCTCTACAAACTGATTCAGTATTGCTTTAATTGTAGTCAGGAGAATTCCTTACATTAATTTATATTGACTGGCACTTCTCAGGAAATGTGAGGTGCATACTGAACTTTGGTAATACGTTTCCTAAAGAACATGCCAGTGTGACTAACTATACAACAGAATGCAGTTTATTGTATATTATTTCCAAAATGGAATCCCACAGAGCACTTAAACTGCAGCTGTTTTATCATTACCTAGTTAGACATGTTGTAAAGCAGTAGAAGATGGTGCCTTAAGGACTGGGATAGGACATTTCATGTCTTTGAAATTTAGTTGAGACTAACACTAACCTTTGTAAATATAGAAATTAAAAAGAAAATCTCTGCACTTAGTAAAATAATAAAAAGAAATCTAATACAATGAGGGATCTCTTCAGTTTCCAGCTTATAATTTATTGATTACTAGAAAAAATGTGATATCAGAGATGATATTTCACCAAATATGAAAGAGATTATATGATGTCATGTCTGTGATAGCAGGCAAAAGGAGATGATGATCCAGAAGGTCCTTCCCACCATATATTTCTAAGTCTACTGTGTTACCAAACTGGAAGATTTGTACATTTTTATCAGGTAGCTTACATGTATACATTAATCTATGTTATTACTATGAATATATTACTATGAGCATCAAGAGAAATTTTTTAAAGAAGAAAATTCAGTGCCCGTTTGTAGATCACTGCCTCAAGCCTACTAAAGGCATACTTTTACATCAGGCCTGGGAAGTTCATAGAGGGGAAATTATTGCTATTCTGGTAAAAGAGCAAATGCTTTGGAAAAGGCTATTATGTTATCTGAACATGCTTATTTTGGGCCCATTGCCAAGTTAGCCTTGTTCTTTATGTACTTCAGCACTGAAAGTGAAATTGTTGCTATCCTCGTCAATGGCACCTTCACTGGTGACTAGAGAGAAGGCCCTTTGGGAATATTCTAGAGTTTTACACAGTACTGCCAAGGTAGACATAATGTTAAACCCTTACTTTGGACCCAGTGCAACTCTAGATTCTTAATTTTATAAACTTTAAATCAACACAGGGCTATAAATGTAGAAAAGCTACAAGAGATGGCATTATTTTTGTAGGGGAATATGAAAAAAAAATTAGTATTTCTGATTCATTTTTATGTTTTTCATCTAGTTATCTCTTGTGGTGGTCTTCCATCTCCACCAAATGGTAATAAGATTGGAACATTAATAGTGTATGGAGCCACTGCAATCTTCACCTGTAACACAGGATACACACTAGTTGGATCCCATGTGAGGGAATGTTTAGCAAATGGACTCTGGAGTGGCACCGAAACACAATGTCTAGGTAAATATGCATAAAGTCTTTCTTTAAATGTTAAATGAATAAGTAGACACTGAAAATGGATTGACGTTCTATGAAGATGTTTAAAGCCTATATAAAAGATGTGCTAATGTAAAATGTAACAGTGTGCTCATTATCTTAATGTTTTATTTTAATATATTTTTTTCAAATTATACCTGATGTTTTAGAACAAAATTCTAGTCAACAAAATCGAATTGAAAGAAAAATACCATTCCCTCAGAACCATAAAAGGATAATTTTATCTTCCATGAAGAAATACAGCAGAGGAAATAATGTTGTTTCAATATACATTACATAGCACTTCTCCTTTCTCATCTCAGATATGAACAAAACAAAAGAGCACACAGAGTGGAAATGAATTATTTCTGATTTTTTGGTTAAAAAAAAGAAAATAATGGCAAATTTTCATCGCAAAATGGGTAGTAAGAGCTGGATTAAAATGAGAGCTGTTTTCTTGAATATTAGAAAATGTACATGTATATGTATATTCGGTTGTCCCATGCTTGTGAACCAGCTTGGCTCATGGCCCAAATACCTGATTGAACTTTTTCAAGAGTTGCCAATGGGGGAAAAAAAATTTTAAAGAAAGTTCAAATATTGAAGAATTTCTGGTAGTATTTGATCAAATATGAGAACTTCAGGTAAAGGCTCACCATGCTCCTTTTAGGTTAACAACAGAATATTGTGTATTGGAAGATAACTCTGTAAGTACTGACAAAAAGTGTAATGATTTACGAAAGGAAAAAGTAATATACATGCAAATTATTATTTTAATGTATTCTGGAAATATCAGAATTCTGCATCTCTTTCCCTATGGCTTAGTTTTATCTTTTCAGTAAATATCATAAGAAGAGAGAGAATTCATTATGCATGCAGTAGGCATCAACAAGGTGAAAGATTTCTATATTGATATGCAATCTGTGTCATATTATATATTTGATGGAACACAGTTGCTCAACAAATACGATTGTCAGGACTACACTTTCCTATTTCCTCTGTTATTAAATAGTAAAAGCATTATTTTATAAGAAAACTGATAAAAATATGTCATTAAATATTAAGGCTGATAATCCAGAATGTGTTCCAAAGCATTAAATTCTGCATATGAGCCAAGTGACAGTTAAAGGACCCAAGTGTTAGGGTGGACTGTGGATAGTCAGCCCAGAAACTGGTAGAACAGGAGTTACTATAGAGAGTGCTGGGATCAAGCCAATATTAGTCCAAGTTTGAGGTATCAAACTAGGAGTCACAATGAAGTGAATGTTGATTATACTGGGAGGTTGAACCCAGGGATAGGAATACTCAGGGGCAGAAACAGTGAGGCAAGGTAGCAGGAACACATCACCTGCTAATCAAGGATCCAAGCAGGAGTGAAGTTCAGGCTAGGCAAAGTAGAGGTAGAAACTAGGCACAGACGAGGCATAGGTTTAGGCCAGGGAAGGGTGCGGGCGTGAATTTAGGCAAACGTTAGGCTAAGCAGAGTTCATGTGGGATCTAGGTAGAAACAAGCAGGTTGACAGTAGGCCAGGTGGATTAGGAGATGCAGCCATATAAATGTATTGCTTAGACAGCTGTCAGCTGTCTTGCCTGAGTTTATACAGGCCAGCGTAAATTGGACCCTCTTCCTGGGGGCCCTGTGGATTATTCAGTCAGTACCCTGATTACTCAGACCTGGGGACTGAATCAGAATCTGCTGTAATTGAGCCTGGACTCACTATCCCAACTACCTTCTTCTCATCCAAATCCTTTCAAAGTAAACCCTCAAGATTAAGAGTCAGAATGACTCAAGTTCAAAGCCTTTCTGGGTGAGGGGACTCCGGACTTCCAGCATCCCAGGTGAGTATTTTCCCCACTGAGATCTGTGGACAAAGGAGATATACCCACTCTTTTTCTGCTCCTGAGGCTAAACCCGGTAGGCCAAGGAACTGGATGACCCCGTTTTCAAGTGACTTAGCTGCTACATGCCCACACACGGCAAGTCACAGTCATGCAGATATGAAACAACATAAAGCCTTCACCTGCGACTGCTTTAAGAATGCCATATTTTTATGATATCACAACATCCACTGATTTTTAATGTTATACAGGTAACCTGTGTCAAAACCCTTAGGTATTTAATAGGTGGAATAGGATCCAACTCATAGATTTTATTTCCACACAAAGTCAGGATCAGAAAGTATGCCCCAGATTTCATTTAATTTTTACAGTATGTTTTAAAAACAATCCTTTGATCTTTTGATTGATAACCACAAAACTTAGCATGTATGCCCTGCTCTACATTTTCAAATTGCTGTACAGGCATTAGTTCAAAGTAAAACTAAATGCCAACATGTACAAACTAAGTAATGCTTACTACCAATGTTTTCCATGTTTATATCATAAATTAGTCTTGTTTATGGAACCCTGGACAAGGTTAGCTGTCTTTCTGTTATACCGACTGAGAAATTCATCTGCAGATAGAATAATACAGAAGATGAATTGTCCATTGTAGCCAAAACATGTAGGGTCAAGTAATCTAAAGATGGAAAAGCCTATTTGGTCATTCAGTATCTCTCCCTGCCAAGTAGAGATAGTCCTGTTGGTCATTTGCTAATATACTCTGCAGTCTAGTTTTAAATTTACCAAGAAGTGGAGCTTCTAGTACATTTTTGGGGCAACTATAACTCAAGTTACAGGACCTTTTCTTCCTGGGATTGATATGCAGTTTTCAATTTCAGTTTTGCTTGAAATTTTTGTTCACAGCTTCAAGGCTTCACCCCCTCACTCCCAACTGCTTCTTTGTATCATTTTGCTTGCTGCAGTACTAATTTACAAACATGTATCTGAGTATCTACCACCCATTCATTCCATTCATCATTACTACAGTCTTGTGTACATTTAAAGGTCTCCAGCAACTAATATTTTATTACCATGCTGAAATTAATATTTACCTTAGCTTATCTTCCATTTTAATATAGCTGAGTAAATTTGTTGTTTGTTTAATATGCTAGACCCATTGCCCAGAGATTGAAGCCCTCTGTTTAGCCACTGTTAGACAAACTCATTCACTTAACTGTGACCAAAGGAACTACCAAGAGGGGAGAGGAACAGGTATTGCTGTTCTCTGCCTCTTTTACAAGCCAGACACTCCTCTGTTTGGGGTAGGGACTTGAAAATTTGCCTTAGTGCTCCCTCTGCTCCACTCCTAGAGACTGGGAGCAAAGTGGAGGAGGTTGCTCTGGTACCCTGTTCCAGAGCCTGGTCTCGGGCAAGTGTGGGGAATCTGTCCTTTCTGTTCATTTCCACTTCCTGCTCCATTCCCACTTTCTGGCCTTGGGTAGGCACAGAGAGCAGGGGAGAGGGGTTGGCTCCAGACTGATCATCTGTAGTGTTCCCTCTCCAGAAAGGATTTCTATTGTAGTAATAGATACATAGATTGTAAGGATGGAAGGAACATTGGAAGGTCATTGGGTCCAGCCCCCTGCACCAAGCAGG